TTTGATCGCGGATCTCACCCACGTACGCGGGGAGTACGTGGAGTACGCATGTAATTTTTAGGGTTTGTACCATATTTAAGCATCTTAAACTCACCTCATGTACATTTTAGACCAGCCTCCATCCTCCTTGTCCCATAGAACGAAACCCTAAGTGTGTTTGTGAGTTTTTGAGCTTGATAAAGAGATTTTTGTTATCTTAAGGTGAAGAAGAAGAAGAGAAACGCTTAGAGAAGTTGATTGAGCTTGTGGATCCAGGATCACCTTCTCATTTGCAAGCTTTTTGAGGTAAAAAGCTCACAGCTTTATGTCCATTTATGTTAGATCTTCCATATGGTGTTTCTGGGACGTTTTTGAATCTTTTATGTTAAAGGTGGGCTTTTGATCTACTCCAGAAGTAATTGATGCTAGATCTTAGCTCCATTCAGTCCCCATGATCATAAAAATGCAAATTTCTGGTGTATCTTGACCCATGCATGTATTAAGACCTTTGTTAAGCTCTTTTTGAGCTCTTGAGCCCCATTAAGCCATGCATGCATGTAAAGTTGCCAACTTTACGTGATAAGTTACCTTTAGGGACCAGATCTGAGAGTTTGGATAAAGGACTTAGCGGGTTAAGTGCTTAATGGAGCAAGTTGGCATACTGGGGAGTACGCAGGGCGTACCCAGCTGGTACGCTGCGCGTACTAGCCCCAGATGGAGTACGCTAAGTATACGAGATGAGTACGCCCCGCGTACTCAGCAGATGGGCCTTTGGGCTTAGAGTCCTTGCTTTTGGGCCATATAGTGGATTTGGAAGTTTGGGCCTAGTTGGGCCATTAAACCTCTGTTTCGGGCTTTGGGCTAGCATGTTGGGCTTCCTTGGATTTTAGGCCCATGATGGGTTTTAGGTCCCAATTTGGAAGATTGGGCCATATATTGGGCTTTAGGATTTTGGGCCTTTGAATGGTTGTGATGGGCCTTGGTGTTTTTGGGCCAAATTAGATAAAGGGTAAATTGGTCTTTTACCCTGGTTATGGGCCAAATAGCTTAGACTTTTGGTTATGGGTCGGAATCCAATTAATAATTAGATGTTATTGATTTTGATAGCGCGAGGCTTTTCCGGGCCACCAGTCAGATATTCATTCGAGTGATTCAGTAGGTTGAGGTGAGTTTCCTCATTGTGTTTAGCGGGTCGAAGGCACCAATGCTGGCCCATGGTTTATTATGTTAGGATGCTAGATGTCTGCGTGACTTTTGCATATGTTATGTGTTGGTATGCTTACAGGGCAAGGCCTGATGCCGGGCGTGGCGCAATGACTGTACTGTATGCTATTATCTATGTGATCATTGCATGTGTTTGTATGATTATATGTTTATATGCTTATATGTATACCGGGTGGGGCCTGATGACAGACAGATCTGTATACCGAGCGGGGTCCGATGACGAGCGGGGCCCATTATGTGTTTATTATGTATGGTATGTGGTATTTTGGGGAACTCACTAAGCTTTGTGGTTACGGCTTTCAGTTTATGTTTCAGGTACTTCTAGTTCGAAAGGGAAGAGCCCGATATGATTGCAGAGCAGACACCACCTTATTCCACATTTTGTGATTTACTCTGGTATTTTATGATGTATCGATACACTTTGTTCCACCTTGGTTGCATAATGATATTTGGGATTACAGTTTTATAAATTTAAAAATGAAAGTTTTTGGCCTTATTTTTGGGACGTTACATTTACGGTTGAAGTTCTCGATGACCGACTTGGGCTCTCTTAATTATTTTCTTGGTATTGTTGTTACCCGTGACCATCATGGCATGTTTCTTTCTTAGCAGAAATATGCCTTGGAGATTCTTAAGCGTGCACATATGACCGATTGTAAGCCAACACGTACTCTTTATCGCAGTCTTGTTGGGGCTCTTTAGTACCTGACGTTCACTAGACCTGATATCACCTATGCGGTTCAACAGATCTGTCTTTATATGCATGACCCCCCGAGAGCCGCATTTCACCGCATACAAGCCCATTCTCCGATACGTTTCTGGGACTCTTGACCATGGCTTTCAGCTTTACGCCTCTCCATCACGCGGTTTAATATCTTACTTCGATGCTGACTGGGCCGGAAGTCCTTCTACCCGTCGATCCACATTCGGTTACTGTGTGTTTCTTGGACAAAACCTCATTTCCTGGTCGTCCAAACACCTGAGCACTATCTCTCGATCCAGTGTTGAAGCTAAGCATCGAGGTGTTGCGAATGTCGTTGCTAAAACATGTTGGCTTCGTAACCTCCTACGGGAATTGTATAATCCTCAACTATCCGCTACGTTGGTATACCGTGACAATGTTAGTGTGTTTGTTTGTATACTAACCCAGTTCAACACCAACGCACCAAACATATTGAGATTGATATCTATTTTGTGTGTGATCAGGTTGCTTTAGGGAACATTCGTGCCCTACATGTTCCCTCTTCGTCTCAATATGCCGACATTTTCACCAAAGGGCTACCAACGTCTCTTTTCCTTGATTTTCGTTCCAGTTTAAATGTTCGATTAAGACCTCTCGCTCAAACTACGGGGGGGGGGGGGGGGGGGGGGGTTGTTAGCATATATTTATGTATCCTTGTTATAAGTTTATATACATAGCCCATATTGTTTTAGATAGCCCAATGACATTATAATGTACTCATATATTGTATTTTGTGTATTTATATCAATGAAAAGGATATATGCCAGTTTATGGGAAAATACTGATCTTACAATGATGGAGAGTTCTCTAAGAGCACCGCCATAAATCATATATGTGGTGTTTTGCTCCAATCAGGATATGAAACGGCGAGATGGAATTCTTGGTCTCCATATAAAATCAATATTTTTATTTGGAGAACAAATATTGATAGTCTTCCAATGTGGATTAATTTGTCACGTAGATGACTGGAGGTTGAATCTTTGTTGTGTCTTGTTTGCTTCCAAGGCATTGATGTTATTATCATCTTCTTATTCAATGTTAGTTTGCTTCTAATATTTGGAGAAAGATAGCTCGTTGGTGGGGTATTACTCTGCTATGTTACATATGTTTGTGTTATGACAAAAGTATATAATCAACAAAGTAACACATATATCACAAACGAAACTAAAATTATATGTAATATACAAGAATCAAATTACAGAAACATACTTGAATGAAGATTACACAGAGAATACAATCACAAAAATGTACAGATTAAGGTCTTCTATGCAGTGTTCTAAGACAAAAATTTCCCTGGTAGGGATCTATCTAGAGGATACAACAATCAATAAAGAACAAATCTTGATTATGACGAAATTCACTATGTTCCCAACCAACACACTTGTTCAAAACTGAAATAAAGTGATAATTAACTGTCTGACAGTTAACTAACAAGTTTAATAATTAATAAAAAGTCAAAATTCAAAATTAATATATATAAAAAATAATTTTAATTATTCCAGGAGACCCAAAACCATTCTTTTGACCATTACATATATATATATTAATCCAATGCTATTTGACTAATTTTGACTAGCCAATCACCAAATTCAACTCAATTTCTTTAGCCAAACTTTAATCATATTAATAAAATACTGAGGATAAAACTTTATAATGGAGTTCAAAGTTTCTTCTTACTTTCAATGTGGACCAAGTCCCATAAAAGTTATTTTCTTTAAACAAAAGTTCCAACTGTTTTGTCATTGTCTTGGGTGGATTTGTATAAATCTAAAGCAACTACGAAGAAATGCATGGAGATGGTGTTTATTACGACGTTTTGGTTGGAATTCTTGCTTTTTTAGTCTAAACAACTGAGAGAGGATGTTATTTTTGACAACATTGTTTTGTTTTCTTTTCAATGGTTGGTGAATAGAAGTATAAAGGTGAAAGTGAAATGGATGGTTCGGTTATAAATCCTTTCGTGGCTTTAAATTATTTGTAAATTTCCTAGCTAATTGTTAGTTTTCTTCTATAATATGTGTATTATTCGGCAGTTTTTTATTAAAAAATTATGTATCCTATTCTTGTCACAACCCAATTTCTAATATTTTAAACTTCACCTTTTATTTATTTTATCCGTATGATCCATAAAAAAAATACCAAATCAAACCCACTTAAGGCTATGGGGAGTGGTCACCACCAACCCACCGAAAAAGTGTTGTCACCTCTCTTCCACGTCAGTTTCACCACCAACCCACTAGACATTGGAAATGGTTACCAACCTACAATATTCCTTTTATTTATTTATTTATTTATTTTTTAGCATTAAATTAATTAAAAAAACATAATTTATAACATAAATAAATATTTTAAAAACATAGAAAAATAAAACCATACTTCATATATATATATAATATATATATATATATTATATATATATCTATATATATATATATATATATAATAGAGAGAGAGAGAGAGAGAGAGAGAGAGAGAAAGTCAAGATCAAATAAGAAGGAAATTTTTGGTAGGAAGATAAGAAGTTTTTTTTCTACATATTTTTTTCGCGAACAAACAAAATGAATCATTAGATAATTCATTTGTAAGATGATTCACAAGAAAAAATTCTCAAAAAACATTTCGATGATTCATTTATACAATGATTTTGTTGTTATTCACTAAAATTGTCATAAAAGTGAATTTTTTCTTAATTTACTTAAAAATGAATCATAAAGATGTTTTTTTGGGAATTTTTTCTTGTGAATCATCTTACAAATGACTCATCTAGTGATTCATTTATTTTGTTCGTCAAAAAAATATGTAGAAAAAAAACTTCTTACCTTCCTACCAAAAAAAATTTCTTACCCACTCCACACCCAAGCCACCAGCACTTGGGGGGGTGTTCACGAGTCTTTTGGGATGCCACCTAAGCTTCCATGCATAGGTTTCTATCCCACTCCGGATAGCCTAATAAGTAGGCGCATTAAAATTGTCGAAGAGTAGGGTTAACAAAGTATTTCAGAACATTTACAATAAATGATATCTATGAATATCACACAAATTAATATATAGTTTTGGTCAATTTACAAATGTTCTAGTCTTTTTACATGTATAAGTCAATTATTTAACAATAATAGTATAAAACAAATGTAGATTATTAAAAAAGTTTCCATCAAATAAACATGAATGTTATGCTTTAAGGTTGTGTAAAACATGGTCAAGGAGATCGAAGACTTGAAAATGTGGATACAGTTGAAGGTAGATCTTCTCCAAAACGGCGATCAAGACGACTACGCTGAAGTTTCTTAGATACATTCTCATTCTTTACAAAGGGTGCACTTTTATGTGATAATCTCTCGTTGCTCGATTCTACTTGTATGCCTGTGGAATTTCGTTTGTTGCCATCAATACTTTGGTCCAAGCCACGATGAGAGCCCGTGACTGGTCGTGTCCACATCACACTCTCGTGCAAAACGACTACTTGACTTTGAGCAATCTTTTTATCCTACAAAAATAAATCAGATTTGTGTATCATTTAAATCATTTAGTTTTTCACATAAGGGTCCAACATACATAAGTTTTTATAAAAAGGGACCCATGCACACTTGTTTGGTAGAAAAGGTCGTACTAAGTACTAACCCTTTGACGTCGTTGTTTCTCTTCTTCTTTTTCACGTCTCAACATATTGTACTCTTCCATTAGTGTGAGTAAAGGTACCTAGCAAACCAAGGATTGATTATCATTCTTCACTTGCAAAAAGTCAAATCTCGGTGGTGTATATTTAATCATACCTCGTCATATAAAAACACCTTCTTCCTTTCTTCTTCCCAACTCCTTGTTTTCAAAATCAATGACTCCACTAAAGCTGCATATTTTTCAATATATCCATGTCATTTATTATTCATATTCAATAAAAAGACGAGAGAAATATACAAATACATGATGTCAAGGTAAAAAGTACAATCCAAAGCTAAAATTTGATATGGCATTTTATATTTCCGTATCATTTTTTGGTATTAGGATTTAATCATATAATACCTGGTATTTTATTGACCAAACTACGAGCACGTTCCGCTCGTTTTAGATTTTTGTGAGCGCCTCTACTGACCATATATCTATTCTCGTCCTAGAACACAAGAAAATTATATTTGTAAGTACACAAATTATAACGCTTTATAATATTGATAAGTAACTGACCATGTTATATTCTTCTAGCCATCGTTCCTCTTCTCGTGCTAACGCCCATTTCTCAACCTTTTCCATAATCATTTTCCTGCTCGAAGCTTCATCTTTGGCTCTTGCTATTTGCTCATCCATGCTCTTTAGGAGATCTGTGTAGTCCATCTTCCCTATGGTGCAAATAGTTCAAATTTTTTATTATCAATTTTATGGATTTAGAGGGAGGGTTGGTAAAAGTTACCCAAATCATTATATGGCCTATCAGGACATTAGATGATATGACACGACATGACATGTTATGAAATAATGTAACATAGGGTTGTCAAAATTGTACCACAAAAAACCAACCAACATGCTACCAACCGAACCAAAAAAGTTGGTAGCCAATATATTTGATAGCCAACATGTTTGGTTGGTAGTATCGTATCAACTGAAAAATCTTGGTACAGTAATGGTACAAAATTTTGAATATCATGGTAATACCGTACCAACCAATTCATATATATATATATATATATATATATATATATATATATATATATATAAACAAAATCATATATTTCAATGTTAATTGTGTTTAGTGTTTACAGTTTTAAGAATGTTATATAAGTTATTTGGTCGTATTAGTCAATGGTTTTTACCACGTTAAAAACACATAATTAAAGCGTTACTTTAGCATTACTCAAATAGAATTTTTGTGTAAATTAAAAGATCTGTGTAACTAATTTATTTCTAAAAGTCAAAATTATCCGGTGTATTTGCTTATTTTAAAATCTTACAATTGAAAATTAAAAGAAATTGGTATATATACAATTACCAATTTGTACCAACCAAACATGTTGGTAGAAAATATGTCGGTACCAAATATACTTGTTACGGTAGCAGTAGAAATTTTTTTATACCAATTATAGTTAGTATGGTACACGGTTTAAGGAAAACCGAATTGGTACCGTACCAATTCCACCCCTAATGTAACATAACATCATAGACGATTCATTAGTTTTGAAGGTCATATGCGAAGAATAAAAGACGAACCTCTAAATATAATTTTTTTATATATAAAAAAAAATTAAAGAATGAATTATCGTGAAGGAAAACTAAAAAGTAAATTAAACTAATAAAGAAAACGAAAAGTATAAATTTATAAAAATTGATAAGCTAAATATATAACTTAAAAAATGATTTAGTAAAACAAGTTTAGAGGTAGGGTAGATTGTAACGTATGAAGCATAAGATAGGGGTCGAAATTGTAATTTTAAATATACAGCATAACAGTCACTCACCAAAATTCTAATTTGATATTATATTTTTTTTGTCTCAAATTTAACACTGTATTTTTCAATTTGTTACAATTTTGATCACTTTACCGGTAAACTCGGTTGCCTGCTGATGTGACATGATGACATGTTGGTTTTTGATGATGTGGCATGTTGACATGACATGCTGACGTGCTAAAATTGAATTTTTTTTTTCCACAAAAGACATTAAATTTTCACTTTTTTTCAACTTTGAAGCTAAGTTTTATTTTTATTTTTCAATTTTGACACTATTTTTTTTTTTCAAAATCTAACATCATTTTTTTTCATCTAAACCGTATAAATACATTTTTTTTTATTTAAAAACCACATTTTTGTATAAATACAAGTTTTTTTTTTTTGACATTTAAATCATAATGTTATGTATAAATATGTATTAGTTATATAAAAACCACATTTTACATTAAATACGTAACTTTAAAATGAGTTTGGAGGTTTGGAGATTTGTAGTTGTTCAAGACCCAGTGACCATGTTTGCAACCCATGAGATTTTTACATCTCATATCATTTTCATCTTGAATGTCACGGTGTGACTCTCAAATGCTATCATGACTTAATCTTGAATGGTCATTTAATTATTGAATGACAATTTAATTATGTTGGAAGTATGTAACCAGGGTTAATGACATAAAAACCCTTAAGTTTGAAAGAAATGTTCAGTTTTATCATTTTGCATATTTTTGTTTCATTACAGTCGGAAGTTTGCAACTTCTTTTTTTCAATTTTACACGTTTGCGTATTTATGGTTCATTAAAGTCTTAGGTTTGACAGAAATGTTGGTTTTACTCTTTATTCTGGTTCATTAAAGCCCTTAACTTTTGCAAGAATGTTCGGTTTTACCCGGTAAACTTGCAAAAAGGGTAAAATTGAAAAAAAAAATTGCAGACTTCCGGCTTTAATGAACTAAATATACGTAAAAAGGTAAAACCGAACATTTCTACCAAACTTAAATGCTTTTATGTCACTAACCCTATGTTAAAATTTTTTTTATCCAAATTGACCTTTCAACATTAAATATATATATGCATTTTTGGTTTATTATTTATTTAGTAATATACTACAATGTTTGTTACTTGTCATATACAATTATAATAAAGTTGTATGGAATGGTCTTAGGCCCGAGTGTTAGTTTATATATATATAGATATATATATATATATATATATATATATTATATATATATATATATATATAACAAAAAAATATATTAATCATTTGGTTGAGCCGGATAAAACGTCTTCCTTGTTTTGAGAGCACGCCGGTTCGATTCTTCCATAAGCGAATGTTTCTTTTTATAAGGGTGTTGCTAATAAGACACCTTTTGGACACCCTATTGACCACTTTTTAAAAAGTCAACATATAATTAACTACTTATAATCAGCTTTTTTGGAAAACAATACAATTTCAACCAATAAAAATATTTCAAAATTAAATTAGGGTGTCTATATGGTAAAATTGGGTGTTTTTTTAGCCAACCCATTTTATAATGGATATATACAGTTTCAGCCTGTAATTTATGTTTCATTCTTTACAATCTATCCTATCTCTCAATTTGTTTTCCTAAATCAAATTTTCAAAAAATTATATATTTAGCCTATCAATTTTTATAAATTTACAATTCATTCTTTAATTTATTTATTTTTTATATATTTAAGGGCCCAACTTTTATTTTGAATCGGCAGTAAGTAGTGGGAAAATGACTTACCATGGTAATCATCTTTATCGATTTGTTCACATTTAGACAATTTTTTTATTTTTATATACATTTTACTATTTAACTTGTTATATGTATTCACATATTACCATTTTCACCGGCTATAGCAAGTGACAATTGTGATATGTGAAAACATTAACAACTTAAATAGTCAAATGTATATAAACATAAAAAAATTGTCTAAATGTGAACAAAACGATAAAGATGATTACCATGGTAAGTCGTTTTCCCCACTTTTAATAGCGATTTTATTTTTCATATTTGTTGGTATTATTTTTTTCAAACGTTATTTTTAAAATATCTATAATTTACTAAATATTAATTAAATATTTATCAGTTCTAAACTTTACTTTTTAATTAATAAATATGTTTTTGTTTTGTGAAATATTATATATAGCCTCTTATAATTTTTTTTCTTTTAAGCATATACAATATTTTTAAAGTAAATAGTATCTAAAAATAAAATTAAATAAATTAAATATGTAACAATAAGTGTGGAGGGTCTTTTAAAAAAATAAAAGGAAAATATTATTTAGCAAATAAAAAAACAAAAAAATCTATATAATGTAAATGTTTTAAAATTATTACAACTTTTTAATACTTTTTAATTAGAAGTTTATAAACTTTTAATTTTTTTAATACAACGTTTTCAACTAGTATTTAATGAAGGTATATTAAAATGTTATAAAAAAAATACTAAATTGTCATACAAAATCTGTGAAACACTTTAAAAATGTTGTAAATGAAAGTTTAGAATTAACTGTATGAAAGTTATTAAAAAATTGTATGAAAATGTAAAAAAAAAAAACAAAAAAAAAAAAAATTTAAAACTTATAAGAAAATTTTGAAACATTTATAAAATATTTGGTTTAAAAACACTTGTATTAAAACTATATGAAAATATAAAAAAATTTAAAAAAAGTTATAAACAAAGTTTAAAACATTGTATTAGAAAACCTATAAAAAAATATTATAAAAATGTTCTAAGAATATATAAAAAGTTTTAAGAAATTTGTAAAAGAAAATTGTTTATATTTAAACAAATTTTTTTTTTGTACGTATTACTATTGTCACATTCTATATAGGAGGTAACAATGATAATATATCAACACATTTGTAAAAAATAAAAAATAAATAAAAATTCCCCGTAAGTAGTAGCCCGTCATTTTGAGTTAAAATTTGATCTTTTGGAGTAGAACAGAGAGAGAGGTTTCAAAAATCTAACCTCTGCTTATCGAATTAAGAATATGGTCAGTCTCAGATAACGACGGGACCTCCATATGCGATCGCCTGCAAATCTCCTCGACCTCACTCTGTTTCTTTACAACAACTTCTTTCATTTTACTCGCTTTCAATTCATCCAATCTCTCAACTTCAGCCTCTGCCTGTAACATTTTCACAAAAGTGTCGCTAAAAAGTATCAATGCTTTGATTATATATCAATATCATTTAATCATTATCATGGACAGGAACTCTATGCAAACCTGCTCGATCATCTTGATGGCCAGACTTCCAGGAGCAGAGATATTGGTCGAAGACGACGTTGAACCAGAAATGTGTGAAAATAATTCTCGATCTATGTAAGGTGTATCCATTAGATCCCATAATTTTTTCAAAGAATTCCCAAGATTTCGAAGCTGCAAACACATCGGAAGTTGTTATTGGATCAAGATCATTTGCTTTGACTCTTTGGATCAAACGTCCAATTCCTCAATTTCAAAAGTTTTGTACAAATGTTATCAAGAATCTAGATCAAAATTAACCTTTTCAATCCGCAAACGCTTTTCTGCTTCAAGGGATTCAACCGTGCTATTGAGTTTATCTAAAATACGATCACTCATGTTCTTGGTGAGACCCGATAAATCGTTCAAGCTCGGATGCACTTTTGTTATGATCATCGATGAATCCACTCCTAACGTACTCGACAACTTCTGAATCGTGTTTATGTAGTTTTTCACCCTTTCGAGCCTGTCATTCTTTCAAGAAACAAGAACTTGAATTAGCAAACCACCATTTTAGTGATTAATTAGCAATGAAGGATTGTGTACCTTGTCGGCATGGAGTCTTTGAAGCTCCATTTGATATTCTTCAAGTTTCTTTAACGATAGATCGTTTTCATTTATGATAACATCAGGTAACGAATCGTCATATTCAGATTGACCTGCAATTTCTGCAGAAATCTTTTGAATCTGCGACTGAACTGTTCGAAACTGTTTCATTCTCTCCGCCTTTCTCAATTGCAATTTCTTTAACGCCGGCGCAATCGCCCCGAGTTGTTCTTTCAGAGCTCCGGCCATTTTCTCCGGCTACGGTAAACAAAACTCCGATTCTTAGTAAAAAGAATGTAAAAGGTATTTAAAGCAGAGGAAGAATTATTACCCTAGGAAGCGAGCGTTCATCGAGTGACAAAAGCATATGAGTAAATCGAGCTTCCGAATCAGCCAACTCTTGATGTAAACGAGACCTCGACATGTTTGCGTTGTCAACTTTTCTTCGATAAACTTGAAGACATTCATGCTCGAGATCAACCAGAACCTTTTCTCTTTCGAATTCATCTTCGCCAATTTCATCCCAAATCATCTATCACTCATAAAGATTAGTTAGTACTGATCATATCATACAAAGGAGGAGGGTGAGATTCAAAGTTAAGGCTGCAGAGAAACTTACTTGTAGTTCTTGAAGAAGATACCCGCAGGATGTCTCGAGCATCGCGGTGGTTCTAGTGTCCATGGGTGACTGAAAAGAACCCATATCATATGATCATATCAGACTAATCAGAGCTTTGTTAAATTGATAAAATGATAAAAAGGTGAAGTGGGTTTTTGCTTAGATGACAAGCCTGAAACACACTAGTTGGTGACCGGTATCAGAAGCTTTGGGTTCAAGAATTCTTCAATCTTTTGTCACATTTTGATTTTTCACTTTATAGATATTTTACCATATATAGATCACAATGGTTAAAACTTTCTAACCAGTTTTTCGATTTAATTTAATTAATAAAATTTTATTATTATAAAAAATCTCAAATAGTTATTCCACTGAAATGGTTTTTATATAATTTATGAAATAGTTTACAAAATTAAATAACATACTTTTTACACATATATTCGTATAAAAATGTAAAAATACAACAATTAATGAACTAGTTTACAAAAAATTCTCAAATAGTTAGGCCATTGAAATGGTTTTATAAAATTTATGAAATAGTTTACAAAATTAAATAACATACTTTTTACACATATATTGGTATAAAAATGTAAAAATACAATATATATATATATATATATATATATATATATATATATATATATAGTATTTGTGTGCATAAATATGTATTTATAGGTATTTTTAAATGTATAAAGTGATGAGTTTTGAGGATCATTATTCAATATTGAAAAGACAGCGGAGACAACAATTTTAGATCATTAATAGGCCCAAAAATCGGATCTATGAACAACCTATCTAATGAAAACTGAATATGCAAGAAATCATACCTTTTGGGGTTTGTAGAAACCCTCATAGATCCTTGATTGTTTGATGAGAGCTAAGAGTTCAACGTAGAACTCCTCTTTCGTAGTCGCACCCAAGACACTCATATTAACAACATCTCACAACAACCCATGCAACGAACACCATGAGCGAGGCTTAACAAATCCGAATCTACTGGAACTGCAGGTTCCACGTCGTTGCAATAAAGCCACCACGACGTGGCATCGTGATTTTGAGGGTTTCAGGAAAGAGGAGGTAGGACCAAATTTTCACTAGGGTTTTAAGTAAATCTCATCATTATAATTCTTCCATTGGCCTCTCTATATAGGGAAGGATATAAAACCCTAAAAGATATTTATCTAGTCAACTAAAAATTATCCATATAAATGGTAATTATTTGACTGCTTAAATTATCCTCTTTTATCCTCCAAAACATTCCAAAACTTCTAGATTTCATTTAATTAATTAAAGACTATTAATTAATTAACAAATTAAGTCCTTATAATTTTCTATGTCATTTATTGCTTATTTATGTCATTGCGTATAACCCCAAAGGACCCTACTAATAATACTAATATTACCAATCGTTCTAACTGTGTTGGGACTATAAACACCATTCTCCATCACTCCCACTTACACAAGTTACCAACACTAGTCACTAGTAATGAGTAGAGAGTATACAATCAAATATACCTGCCATACATATCACATAGATTCGTGACATAGCCCTTAGATAAGTGATCAAATATTAATTTGTTTTTCAAGATATCTATATGAACGTGAGACGGGGAAATAGTCAATCTCAAAACATCCAAGATTTTGTTTCCTAATAACGACTTGTTTCAACCAAAAGAAAACTGCAAAATTGGTCTATGAATTCAGTCTGAGCACGACCACGCATTTTTAATGTCAACACTAAATCATCGATGGGCCCAAAGATATCGACTCCTACTATATAAAGAAAAAGTAAAGAAATAAACTTTGACTACATAGATTCCACATATTCATCATGTCATATCTAGTCAAACCCTGTATGATTTCCATTTACGAACAACGTTGGGGAAAAACCAAGACACAACAGAGTGTAGGAGAAAATCTCATGCATCTTCATTTGAAGAATATATGATATTACCATATTAGAATTAACTTGTGACTGAACCCATGAAGTACTCTCTAAGTGTGGGTTACTCAAATACTCTAAAATCTCCATTTAGTACTCATGAGTATTGGTCACAAACTTTGTTATGTTCATCCCCGTAAACAATCTACCAATGCTCCATGACAATCTTAACTCACTACTTTCTTCCAGGAGTAGGACCGATTGTGGAAGTTTTGAATAAATTAATATTCTGGAAGCAGTTCTAAACATGAAAAAGTGGAACATAATGATGACCTAAATGAAATGACTAAACTCCGTCAAATATTAAGTTCTCCACTTAATAATCATCAAATCAAATAGAGACCACAACTGCATCAGTTCCTAAATTAAAACAAACTAAACTAAAATACTCAAGTTAATACACATACAAGTCTAATGACATTATATGTTAATGTGAGTATTAACCTTGATTAGGGATTTAGTTCAAAGAAGTGAACCAACAAGATTCACTTCACTTCACTTTAGTTGACCACGATGTGCTCACAATTGTAACGATACTTACCGAGTATTTACCATGTGATCTTATGTGACTTGGGATCTATACTTAAGGTAAAATCACCTTTTAGTCACAAGAAACATCAAGAGAAACATCAATGATCGAATACAACACTAAGGTCACTAATGAATTTATTTTAGTCACATAGTTTATGAAGAGTCAACATTTCAATCAAGTTATGATTTCATAAAAGTAGATGAACATGAGATGTAAATAAATTTGTAACATTACGTTTAAAATAAATAAATAAAATAAAATAACATAAATAAGTAAATAAACCCTAAAATCCCGAGATGTATTTTATAATTTTATTTTATTTTAGTCCTAAATCCGTAATAATTTATCAAAGTATTAGCCATAAGGAGTTAAATGTTATAATTTCTGGAATTTGGGGTCTATTTTGTAACAATTGGACTTGAAATGTAAAGAATTTCGTAGATCAGGGACTGTTTGGTAATTAGTGGATTTAATTTAAAAATGAATTGTGAAGGGACTGAAAGTGTAAGAAAGGGGGCTGATGTTCGAAGAGAGACGGGACTTAAACCTGTTCCCTCTCCACCCTCTTGCTACTCGGTTACCCATAAAAACCCTAACCCTAGAAGTGTTTTGTAGTCGCCACCTTACTCTTCACATCTACAACCACCGCCATCACCTTGACGATGCCTTGAACCACCGATCGACCACCATCGTCGACTTTCTCCCCCCCCCCCCATGACAGAAGAGTACGAGACCGATGAAGAGTGGAGGGCAGCCTTCGAGTGCTGCTGCTTCGTCAACTATCATTCGTTGCCGACGCCGCCAACTCATTTGTCGCCATCGTGAACAACCAAGCCAACACCGTCGCTGCTCCTGCTGCCGAAGAAGACAAGGAGCGAGGTTAGGACATCATTGCAGTGGGGAGGCTGGAAGAATGAAGCTCTTGACTGTTGTTGTTTCTGTTCTCGGTTAAGGGTCGCACAGCCCTTCTCTTCTCCGTTCCTTTTGTTGTTGCATCGTTGCCGCCGCCGCCGCTCCGAGCGGTTGTCTCATTTGCCAACATCTTTCCGACTGGCGCATGTCACCGTGAGTTGGTGGTTGTGTTGTGTGTGTTTTTTCATGTGGGTGTGCGTGTTTTAGTGTATGTCGGCGTTTGTGTATGTGTGTGTGTGTGTGTTTGTTGGCCGAAAAACAAAGAGAAACCCACCATGGCAACCGACCATAGTGGCTGCCGCCGTTCTGCCACCACTAGCCACCACCTCGGATGGTTGTGTGCGTATGTGTGTGTTGGATTGACATTTTGTGAACTGGAATGCTTTGGATAGTGTTTTGGCTTAAAATTTTATAACTCCTGCCATTAAAAGTGGTGGTTGTCGCCTCCTGCCGCCTTGGACTGTGACAACCGTCAAATTTCGGTCAAGTCAAAGTCAAACAAAGTCAACAAGTCAAACCGGTCAACTCCATTAACCCTTGTATGTTAGGGTTTACATTATACAATTCGCTATTTCAATGAGAAAACATCATTTGAAAAATTCATGTGTTTGATTTTCCTTAGCCTTAACAGTGCTAAACAACGAACCAAAGCGATAAAACACTATTGCACAATCATCGGGATTGTGTAAGACACTAAATCATGGCTTAACGGGGTTTATGGACCTTTCGTTGTGAAGCCGGACACTCAAAAAGATCACAAACGAAACCTCTCACAATCTCTTTCACTCAACCTCTCTCTATTAAAATCTCTCCCAAATCTCTCCCGAATCTCTCCCAAATCTCTCTCAAAAGTTCCTTTAAATTTTTGTAATCATTCGGGCCATCCCGACCCTTAACTGGGTCAAAAACCACTTGAAACGGGGTAAAACGGGTAAAATAGGCTTAAGGACCCAAAACTGAAGCTTCATGACCGAAGTCCCTGTCATAAAGGAAGACGACACACATTTGTCTGTCGTAACCTTACGACGCGCGTGTTGATGACACGCAATGAGTATCAAGGAAGCCCCTGTCATAAAAGAAGACGACATGCATTTTTACGTGTCATAATTTGTCCGGTTTTTCGACTACAACTTCGTTTTAGGCCCGTTTTTCATCATTTTAACGCGGAATTTTCACCAAAAACTTTATTTTTACAGTTAGAACTCTATATTTCAGTACTCCCCACGTTTTTAGGGCCATTCATACCAATAATTAGTGGGGGAGGTGCTTGAGGTGGAAAGATGACTTTACTTTACTTTATGTCACATGCCACCACTCACACCCACTACATGGCCAACTCTTTTCCACTACATGACCAGCTCTTACCCACTACATGACCAACTCATACCCACTACATGACCAGCCCCACTCCTTGTTTAAGTATAAAAACCCATCCCCTCTCTTCATACTTCTTTCATTCTCTCATTTTCCTCCAAGGATCACACTCCAAATTCTCTCACCATTCTCTCTCAATTCCAAGACTTCCAAGGCTGATTATCAAGCTTTCTTCCACTCTTGGTAAGTATAATTCATTCTTCTTATGATTATTACACATCCTTCTACTCAAAATCATAAGAATCTTACACAAACATCGTCACCTTCATGTTAGGTTCTCGATTCGTCAAGGCATCTTCTAAGTGTTCTCGGGTTGAACACTTCTCTTCTCCAACATCCATCCTCTAATAACACATAAGGTGAGTTCATACCCCTATATTTTCATGTTTTTCTTAAGTTTTAAGGGGGGAATACAAGTTAAAACACCAAAAACACAACTAAACTCATTTAACAGTCTTCAACAGAAACATTTAACTCCATTCACGGACTGTTTTGGTCAACTTAAACATTTTAGTTTTCAAAACTGTTTCTGACGCATATAGTTCAGGTTCATACCTTTAAAATGACTACTTGCACATCACCATATGATTTTTTTACGATTTATGGTGATTTTTACAAAACTGTCTATCATTTCAGAAACAAAACCGGACCAGTCTGTGAATATGAATATTTTCACACAAGTTGAAGATCACTAAAAATCATGAGAAAATTTATGAACAAACTAGACACACTTTATAAACTCTCAGAATTTGCGGTTTTTGATTTAGACCTTTGATGATTTTTCTATAAATTTTCTAAGAACAGTAACAGAAACGTTATTACTACAAAAATACCATCAATTTCATTTACGCCTTGTAACTCGTTGAGCAAGGTGTATATCATTATGTAATCATATATTATTACATTATATGTCATTTTGTCTTGTTAATTAGACATACATCAGAAAACAAATGGATTTTTACCTTCACAAGTATGGTAAATAATTAATTTTTATAAACAAAGTTTACATCCGTTATACACAAACATTTGGTAAACTATGACAATTATAGTTTATGAACACTACTACTACCCTTGTTGTGATAAACTATAATAGGTATAGTTTATGATACATTTACATAACAAACTATAATTTGTATTAATACTCTATTCTCGTTTAGCAGTTCCTAAACCAAAACTATTAATTATATTAGGTTCTACGTCATTTTGACCCGAACTGTCTATCGTACGACACACACATTTCGTTTTGGGACTAATGTGAGTAATCTACCCCATATTTTATAATTTTCAATACTTTTGGGGTGTATCATGCGGTTCTAATATGTTCCAACTTCATTTTATTGTTTTATCACAATTGAGACATTGTTGGGACATTTATACGTGAGTCATTAATTGTATAACTATTGTTTGTTTCCGCTACATGTACTTGTAGTGCATTATCATTTTTAGTCTAATCTCCATGACTATGCCCGTATTCTTGAGGTACGTTATGGACAATAATAGCGCTATTGGGTTGACCACCCCGCCTTGGGACGCTAAGGTGATTGATCGCACGTGGTTGAGTGTGTATGATGATTAGATGCTCCATCCTATATATATATATATATATATATATATATATATATATATATATATATATACATATGTATATATAGGGTGAGGACTTATTGTTGTTGTTATCATTTGTTAATCAATTTTTGATTTATAAACCGTTATCTCAAATACAATTGTTTGCCGACTTCAAAAGAAAACAAATTTCAAATTATAAATGTTTCAACTTCACAAATTTTCTCTACTAAAATTAGATTACTCACCAACTCTCGTAGTTGACCTGTTTTTACCCATGATGCAGATTTGAAGAATGAAGTTGATGAAAAATAGGTTGTGCCTTAGAAATCCACAAGACTATTTAAATTTGATGTATTAAATGTTGTTCGTATTTGGATTTGTATTTGTATGTTGTGGATCTTGTTTGCATACTTAGTACTTAATTGAATCTAATCATATTATAACATAGTTGTCATGAGACTTTGAACAATATATCACGCCTTGATCGATTCCGACAAGGATCGGGGTGTGACAGATTGGTATCAGAGCCCTTGACTATAGGGAATTAGGTTAATTGCCTTGACCTAGTCTATAGCCTCTAGGGTCCTCTCGTATGCTAGTTTATAAAATGCACACACAACTGCATGCAATTCACACTTAGAAAATCCTAGGAATACCTTTGTGTGTTAATTGCTCCCTTAAGTGCATACGTATTACTCCTGACGCTTATATGTGTGCATACACTGGTGAATATTCTCCTCTTTCTCTGAAAATCACACACATATTCAAGTGGTTTAAAAAAAATGTATATACATATATATTCCTTAGAGCTCATAGGAAATTCAAAATCATCCACTCTAGTTGGGTAGGATCATAGTAATGGACGCGTAGTAACTGGAAGGGGGAGGTGCCGGTAGCCCGAAAGTCCTGACTAGGCAAGTATTCGTATACATCCCAATCAACTGAGGGACCAGTTTGCTTACCTGGGGACCAAAGGCGAGAGTTCCCAAACCTATAGGCCAAAGCGCGTCATTCACATTACTTTTGAGCCATCAAAATACCCGACCTTATCAAACGTATCCAAAAGGATACACTCCAAAATGGCCAACTCATTGGACTATTAAGTTCCCTAATGGGCCTAGAAGTGGGAAAGACATGTGAAAACTTAGTTTTGTGGGGGCCCATGCAAGTGCTACATGTTTCACATTTAGTAACCATGGAAAGCCCAAAAGGTGCCCAACACTCCTAACCATGGCCCAACAAGTGTTTTACAATTATTTTACCCAACAATGTCTAAAAACTTTTTTTTCCATAATCAATTTACAAATAACTCATAAGTCCATATGCGTGTTTCTCGTAGATGGCATTACGACCCCCATACGCTGCTCGCAACAACCGAAGGCTAGCTGCCCTTATCGCCAAGGAGGTAGCAAACGTCATCCCAACAATTGCAACCCAACTTCATTCTCTTCAGCCACAAGCTCCAGCAACCACTCCTTGTTGCTCGTTCAAGCACTTTCGTAACTGCAATCCGCCTTACTTCAAAGGCATCCAGGGTGCCACCGCACTCCTCACATGGATTTTAAGAAATGGAGAGTACTTTCATCCATAGCGAGTGTCCTGAGGACCTGATGGTCCGTCATGCTACAGGGTGCCTCCAAGGTCATGCTCTCACATGGTGGAACCTAGAAAAACGGGCAAAGGGAGAGGCTGTATGCCTTGGTATATGTGAATCAAGTCTGGGAAGGATATAGCCTGATCAACTATATCTGTCCGAGGAGTGACTTGCATATACTGGGGGATAGTCATAATGGGCAACAAATCTAACAACCTAACTACATCCTACAGGGAATACTTTAAGAATCGAATCTAAACACCTAAAAATATTATAGGAGTATTTGGTGATACTATAACCAACTTATGTGAAAACCAAAAACCTCTATTAGTAGGCCTATGATAACTGTGTGCATACGTCAAAG